TTCAAGCTTTGCATTTCGAAGTGGAGCAGTTGATGTTGATTCTAAAGATTGAGCATACGCGGCTACCTTGGGGTCTTCATCATTTATTGAACTGTCGTATACCAAACACTTCTCAAGTGGATCAGCTGAGTTATGGTTTGCAACTTGCTCATGGGTACACTTGTCAATGACGTCAACCATGTAACAAATTTTATCAGTTAGAGGGAGTTTCATAGTATTGCTTAAATCAAATTCTACCGTCTCCCCTCCAATATTTAGAGAGAGCCTTCCATTTTTAACATCGATTATAGCACCTACAATAGCAAGGAAGGGTCTTCCTAATATAATTGGAATGTTAGAATCTTCTTCTATTTCCAAAATAACGAAATCAATCTGGATAAAGAACTTACCGACCTGGATAGGTACATCTTCAAGTATACCTACCGGATATTTTACCGATCGATCCGCCAATTGGAGTGATATCGTGGTTGGCTTCAAATCACCTATGCCAAGCTTCTTACAAATAGACATCGGCATCAAACTTACGCTTGCACCTAAATCACACAAAGCACGGTTAATAGAGACATTACCAATAACACAAGGAATAGAAAATGAACCTGGATCCTTAAGCTTAGGAGGCAGCTTATTCTGGATGATAGCACTACACTCCTCAGTAAGGGCCACAGTCTCGTATTCTTCCAACTTCTTTTTTTTAGATAGGATCTCTTTCAAGAACTTAGCATAAGAAGGCATTTGAGAAATAGCTTCAGTAAACGGGATATTGATGTGCAACTTTTTTAAAATCTCCAAAAATTTTCCGAACTGCTTTTCTAACTTAGCCTTAGCTAACCTTTGGGGAAAGGGTAGAGGAGGCTTGTAAGGAGCGGGGGCCACATATTTTTCAACTTTTTCTTCTTCTTGCGTTTGGGTCTCATTATCCACATCTATCACATTTTTATTTTTTTCTTCATGATGACCATCCACCCCATCATTTTCCTTCATCTTGGGTCTCTCATATTGTTTTCCACTTCTAAGAGTTATAGCATTCACATGACTCCTGGGATTTGTCTTGGGTTGTCTAGGTAGCATGCCTGAAGGCCTAGAGGAAGAGCTAACATTTTATGCTAATTGGGTGATTTGTGTCTCTAACATCTTGTTATGCGTAGCTAGGGAATCCATCTTAGAGGCCAATTGTTTTACCACCTCATTTGTGGTTTGTTGTTGCTGCTTAAACTCTTCATTCAATTTTGATTGAGTCGTCACAAACTTCTCCATCATATTTTCCAAATTTGACTTTTGAGAAGGGAAATTGGATTGAGGAGCACGAAAACCAGGTGGACCAAAATTAGATGTAGGCATGGGATTTCCAGGTGGGTTTCTATAAGAAAAATTAGGATGATTCCTCCACCCCGGATTATAAGTATTAGAGAATGGGTCTCCCTTCTGATTAAAGTTATTAACATAGTTAACTTGCTCATTACCAGAAGTATCAATGGATGTGGGGTTTCCTAATTGACATTGAAGTGCAGAATGACCCACATAGCCACATATCGCACATGAAATTGAAGTAGACGCCATAGAATTAATACTCAAGCCTTCGACTTTCTTAAATAAAGCATCAACTTTAGAGGATATATGGTCTAAAGCATCTATTTCATACTTGCCTCCTTTTGATGTCTGAGGAGCACGTTCGTTCGCCCATTGATAGTGATTCTGAGCCATGTCTTCGATGAGAGTGTATGCCTCGTCTATTGTTTTGTTCATCAAAGCTCCTCCTGCAGCAGCATCAATAGTCATCCGTGTGTTGTAAGTGAGCCCATTGTAGAAGGTGTGAACAATTAACCACTTCTCCAGTCCATGGTGAGGGCACATCCTTAATAATTCCTTGTAGCGTTCCCAAGCTTCATAGAGTGACTCTCCTTCCTTCTGTACAAAGCTTGTGATCTGGTTCCTCATCTGTGCTGTTTTACTTGGAGGAAAATACTTTGCAAGAAACACTCTGGACAATTGATCCCAAGTGGTGATGGACCCAGCTGACAATGAGTGCAACCAAGCCCTAGCCTTGTCCCTTAGAGAGAACGGAAATAATCTGAGTCGAATAGCATCATTGGTCACTCCATTAAGTTTCAAAGTGTCGCAATACTCCAAGAAAATCGATAGGTGGAGGTTCGGGTCTTCAGTAGCACCTCCTCCAAACTGATTCTGTTGAACCATTGAGAGCAGTGATGGTTTCAGCTCAAAGTTATTAGCTTCAACATTGGGCCTTGTAATGCTTGACTGTGTGCCTTGAGCATTTGGGGCTGCGAAATCCTTAAGAAGCTGATTTTGATCTCCCATCGTAGCTTGTTCTGTGTTCCTTTGCTCCCTTATAGACCTTCTTATGTTTGCAAGAGTCACCGATAGTTCAGGATTGTTTTCGTCGTTTACTTCTGTTTGATTCCCTTGCATAAAAGAAAGTGAGATGCAAAGAGAAATAAAAATAATAATCTAGTCTAGCTTAATAACGTAAGCACTCAATATTAACACCGTAGTCCCCGGTAACGGCGCCAAAAACTTGATAGGCAAAATCTGCAAACGCACAGACTCGTTGTAACTATCAAGGTCGATCCCACAGGGACTAGGGTTAACTACTCAGTTTCACGTTTTCAACTAGCTAAATCAATGAGTAAATTAGAAGAGATTAAATAAAAGAAATAAAATAAACAGCTAATTGGATGGAATTCAATATAATGAAGGACTAGGATTGGGTTATCACCACAACTTAGGTGTTCAATGATGAATTATTTTAATTCTTGGTGTTGGTTTAATCTAGAAAGGGTGAATTAGCCTAAATTAATCTAAAGCCTCTTTCAAGGTCTAAAGATCGTGCCTAATTAATCTCAATTAACCTACTTTCGTGGAATTAAGATTAAGTTAAACCCATTAAGCTTTATGCTAATCCAAATCAAATCCCCAAGAAATCTAGCATACTTTCGTGGTTCGAGCTCCCTGCTTAATTTCTAGAGATCCGATATTAATCTTCACCTTTCAGTCCTTCAATTAATTACCTATGATTGCTAATACGGTGATCAAGCGAATCAACAAAATTAAAACACTAGAATTCAAGTTTAAAGATTGAAACTTTCACCAAGAACCTATATCAATTCATCATCAATCACCAAAAAGTTGGGTTCTTTCCCAATCCTAGACAAGAAATCTACTCACACATGATTGGGATAAGAGAATACATCAAATAATTATGCAAATCAATCATAAGAAGAAATAAATCAAAGACAGGAAAGAATTAACCCGTCTTTTAATTGAGATCTTCAAAATCAAAACTTGCAATCCAATCTTGTACAAGAAATTAGTGTTTTTCTTCAATACTTGAACTCCAAAATAATTATTAATTGATGGCTAAGAGAACATAACAAAAGATATCCAAAACCCTAAGTCAAAACATCTATTTATATATCCTTAAAAATCTAGAAAATAACTAATTCCCACGCCACAGGTGTGGTCTGCACCACACCAGGGTGTGGTAGGGGCTGTTTTGCTGATTTTGTGCTTGTTTCTTTAGTTTTCAGTATTTTGACTATAACTTTTGCGTCCAACCTCGGAATGAGGTGATTCAAATTGCGTTAGAAATCCGTTGAAGAGATCTACAACTTTCATCTTTTGAGTTTTTCTTGATTCGAACTGCATCATGGTCGAAATTCCAGTTCTTCATACTCGTGCATCCATTTTCTTCACGAACCATGCCTTCGAAATCTTGTTGTTGCTTCAAACTCTTGTATAACTTCCAACGATCATCAAATATTTCAATCTTGAGCCAATACCTACATATAAGAACACAAACCACAGCAGTATCCTCGATCTAAACACGAAATATGCATTAAACACTCGTAAATCATGCTTGTAACACACTAAGATAATGCATATTTTACGTGTTTATCAGAGAGGATTTGACAAATCCCATATATGTGTATGCTTATCCCTCTTTCTATACCATTATATTTTTTTTGTTGGAGGTAACCTCACCAATATAACTATATTCACCCCTCCTATTTTAAAATTTCTTATCGTATAATTTGGGTGTGAATCAAACAAGATATTGCAAATTATAGTATTTGCTTTCCTATAATAATGTTGAACCAAACAAAATATTAGAAATCTCAAAGCATGCATAAAACCATATGGATTTAAAATTTTCTATGATATTACAAATCCTAAAATTTTGGCATTTGAACCAAACAACCCCTAAAGCACTGTGTGTTTGGCAACATTGTAAAATTGAGCGATGATTGAAGTTGGCCTAATTTTAATTTATTTCTTATTTGGCGAATTCTCAAGTTAGAACTGACCCAATTTTTTTAGCTCAAAATTGACACTAAGCCAGTTTTATTTTAGACCAAGGGGGAGCTCGTAATAAAAAACTGTTTTAGCAAAAAACTAGACAAGGACTAATCGTGATCCGATTTTGTGTACTTTGCGAAACATGCTCCGTATGCAACCTTGGTACCCGTATAATCAGACCAAATAAGCTGACCCCAGCTCGAGATCCAGTAACAGAGTGACGCGCTCATCACCGTCATTATTTTCAAGAACAAGGGCAACTTCGTCAATCTCAACGATCCCCGCGCTTCCCCATTTTCGAAATTTCAAGAAGAAACCGCCATGGGACTAAGATCGCGCCCGAATTCCAACGCTCCATCGTCATCGTCCCCAAATCGAAGAAAACGCTCTCCACTTGAATTCGATCTCACTTCACCCCCAAATCCTCAGCGAGCGCTAGATTTCAAATCTCCCCAGACCCCCCCAAATCCCAACCCGCGAACCCTAGTTTCCCAACCTCCGCAGCAATTTCCAACGTCGCAAACCCCAGCTTCTCAACCTCAGCCGAAGATTTGGATCCTGAAAGCCGACGGGTCGCTGGGGGATTTCGACACAAATCTTGGGGATCTTCATCCCGTGACCGTAGAGGCTCTGCAGTCTCTGGCTTCCCAGTTTGAGCAGCGCCA